TTGCAGCTATTGAGTACTTGAAATATGGCTAGTGTGATGGAGGAACTGAATTTTTTATTTTATTTATTTTAATTAATTTAAATTTTAATAGTCTCATGTGGCTACTATTTTGGACAACAATGATTTAAACAATGTCAACTAGATGTCAGGCACAAACCTCAGGAGGCAACTGAGTACTTTGGAGTCCCTTTCCTCAAGGAGCTCAAAATTGAATAGAGAAAATGAGTTCATAAATAACTAACTATAGTTCAGGGCAATTGTATTTTTTAGTGGCATTATTAACATGCAAAGGAAAGGGAGGAATTGATTCTACTGGGGAAACTGGGAAAGACTCCTAAAGAAGAGGTGACATTTTACTAAGTCTTAAACATGAGGTTTCTACGTATTAACATGCAAAGGAAAGGGAGGAATTGATTCTACTGGGGAAACTGGGAAAGACTCCTAAGGAAGAGGTGACATTTTACTAAGTCTTAAACATGAGGTTTCTACCTGAGAATGAAAAGGGAAAACACCGAATATCTTGATGATGAAGGTGAAGTCACCATCTGAAACACAGGTGGACAAGTTCCTATTTGAACCCCTTAGTGAAGATTGTTGTCACCATCACCAGCATCATCATCACCACTTGCATTGCTACCACTGTCACCACCATCACCATTAAAAAAATTACCAAGTACTTGCTAGATGCAAGCAACTATTCCAAGTATTACAAGGCATACAATGAAGAATAAGTCAAAGCCACAATCAGGTGGATGAGGAACATAAATAAGATCATACCTTCAAAATATAAGGTAACCTATTGGAAGTGCCAAAGGAGAGAGGAAGCTGCAATGCAGACCGTTTGCTACAATAACTCCCAATAGACAAACCATTGTCCGTCCACCTCAAGAAATAGCTCACCTGGCCAGGTAGCCACGGCAACATTCCTTCCCTGTGTTGTTCCTACCTTGGTTTTCTTTCCCCTTTTCTAAACAGCCAAGGATTCTACTTTTCACTCCAGGGCTGGGCAGGGCAAGAGTGAGCAGTGCCTGCAATGATGTTATAAAGGGCAAATGTGAGGCTAACTTCTTCCTCCTCCTCAATACTAAGACGTTTCCTGTGCTCCTTATTCTCAGGCTTCAATCCAGCTCCTAAATTATGTGGCTTGTCACAAAGCCATAGTTTAAACTCCTTAAACTTTAAGCTAGGAGAGAAAAGCCTAGCGTTGCAGGCTTAGGCTCAAAGTTCATATCTGAAATATAAGTGAATCACCCTTATTCCCTTTGTGAGTTAAGATTCACCATTAGTAGGGACATGTTTCTTTCCTTAAAAGGTAAATGCAAAAAGGAAAACAAGAGATTTAGGGCTAAGAAACTATTTACATTTTCTATAATGCTCCCTGGGACATATGTACCAGAGGCCCCATTTCTCCTACTCATTCCCTCTTTAAATCTACCTATACCTCCTTATTCCCTTCTAGCTCTCTTCATGTAAGCCACCATCCCAACCTCTCCATCTAGGCTGCAAAAGCCACCATCAGTGGTTAAGTGCTGGAGGATTTCTCCAAGCTTACTTTCCTAAAGAAGATCTAAAGTTGAGATTAGTTCTCTGCTGGGGAAATGCTTTCCCTGTTTCGGGTTGGAGATATGAAAGTCATATTTGGTATAAGCGTTGGCATATGTGGGATCAGGTCTTAAGTTCTCTTAGTTCTTTTACCATAGTTGGTGGTTAGCAAATGCCTATGGCTAAGTGGATAGATGGATGGATCACTGAATGAATGGATAGATAGGTAATGGGCAAATAGATGAATCAAAGAACAAATAACATTAGGTCCCTGGAAATACTGTGTTCCAATGAGCATTTAGAGTTGGGGTCCACAGGTACCAAACTTAGGTCTTCATCCAACTTGCAGGAGAACCTAGGAGGTGGTGGTGAAGTCTACGTATTCAGTTATCATGTATTCCATAAGGTCTAGGGAAATTGTCTTATCTATCAGACACAGACCACTTATAAATCAGCAAACATCTGAATAGATGAGGAGGAAGAGAGGGCTGAGTTGTAACATACTAAGATGAACAGATGGTGAAGGTAAGCCACACCTTCCTTTGGGTTATCTAGGTTAGCTTGTTGCCTCACCTTTGTGTAGAACTTGGTTCCCAGTACTAGTGGAAAGAGCCCTGGAAATTCCATTTGAGTGGCCTAGGGAGAGTTATTTGTTCTCTGTGAGTCCATTTCCTCATCTATTAAATGGGGATAATTCTTGCCAGACTATCTGATAGGGTTGTTGGAAGGCTCAGAATCTAGACAAAACAATTTATGTGAAAGACTGTAAACTGTTAAGCATGATGCAAATGTAAGGTATTGCTATGATTGTTGTTGTTGTTGTTCCAGATCTTTGATGAAGAGTACAATGTCTGGTTCCTAGACTGGGGTGGCGCCCTCGTGGCCATGAAACACACACCTCTGCCAGTCAGGCATTTGTGGTAAGGACAGCTCCCTACCCTATTAATTAGCAGTGGGGAGGGTTGGGACAAGGTATCCTGCATGTTTTTGTACCCATTTACCCATTTCCTCATACATTTATTCCTCCATCTGTCCATCCATCCATCCATTAAATATCCATTACATCGTGTGACTCAGAGGGAGCAATAGTAGGCCAGACAATTCAGATGATAAAGTGTCATGAATGGGGTGGAGTGTAGGAATGGGTGGTCAGATAAGGTAGAAAGGAACAAGGACCAGTAAGTTCAAGCAGCCAAGATTGGGAATCCAAAATAGAAGAGACAGAAATTGCTACAGGAGAAGAGTTAGGTGTATGTAATAAATACTGAGTTCTCTTCTAGATAAGCTGAGTTTGGGATTATTCAAGGAGCAATGACCATTAGTTTTCAGCTATATTTCTCTGACGATTCAGGGGAGGCCTGGGTTGAACCTCTAGATTTGGAGTCATTAGTCCCTAGAGGGTAGTTAAAGCCATAGTAGTGGCCTCAATGCCTCAAGTGAGTGAGTACAATGAGGAGAAAACAGGGACTCCTATGGGACCCTGATGAAAACTAATATTCAGAGTGGAAGAAAAAGTTATAGGACAGACTAAAGAGAAATGGCCAAAAAGATAGATGCCCATAGAAAATGTTTTCACCAATGCTGAAGGAATGGGTGATCCATAGCATCAAATTCTACAGTCGGATCAAGTCACTCATGGAATGAAGAACTATCAAGATTAAGCAATATTGGAGATTTTGGGTGATATTTGTCAGAATAGATTTAAAACAGAGGTGGGGTTGAAAATTAGACTGCAGTAGATTTATGAATGAATGAGTGAATGAAATGACTGAATGCATGATAAGCAATAAAAGGAAGGAGAGACAGTGTCGATTATTCCCTTCAAGAATGTAGCGGATGGAATGGAGCTGAGAGTATCTATGTGAGACCTCAATGAGGAAAAGGTTGATTGAGAATATGTTATGGTGATGATGATTATAATGATGATGATGGTTTGTTGTTGTTTTGTTTATGTTTTGGGCGGGGGCTGGATGAATCGCATGTGTGTTTGTATCCCGTGGGGAAAGAGTTTCAGACTTCAGATTCAGCAAAGTGAATATTTGAAAAAGTAAATATTTGGAGGTGGAGGGTATGTTTTTTTAGAGCACAGTTGGTGGGATTTCCTATAGGCAGGAGAAAGGACCCTGTCTTAGCTACCAGACCCTTCATTTTGGGAGACCAGCGCTTTTAGGGTAAGAGTTTACTGGGAGGAATGAGACTGTAATAATAGGATTCCCTGCGGCCAAATCCAAACTTCAGCCACCTTAGCAAGGACTTAAGAAGGTTCTTCTCAGTTTGGACATTTTAGGTTAAAACATGAAATTGCCATTTTTAGGTCAAAAATGGTCAAATATTATCAGTATTTTATATCCCACCCAGGCATAAAGTCAGATAGTTATACTTACCACTATATAATTTTACAGATGTACTATGAAAATAAATTCTAAAAAGACATATGTAGCCATTTGTAAGAAAAGTACTCTACCAACCCAAGGATGAACTTGTAAAAGTTCCCAGCATAATTGTTTAGTATCATTTTACTACCGATTATATACTTTTGGGGTAGTATTCAAAAACTGGAATTGCTCAATATTAATGTTAGTCAGCACTTATTGAACGATTATTACATTCCAGGCACTGTCTAAACCCTTACATAAATTGTCTAATTTAATTCTTAAACCAACCCTATGTATGCGAGTATGCTTTTTATCACCCATTTATAACAGGAGTGAAATGCAGACATATTAAATATCTTGGTCAATGCTACACAGCTAGTACCTGGCAGCACCAAGTCGGGTCTCTTTTCTTTTAACTGCTTATTTTCTAGATATTGCAATGAGCACACAGAATCTTATGACATGGTCCCTGCTTTCTGGGAGATCTTAGTCAAGATAAAAGTGTAGATAGTACATCCATCACCAGAAATCAAAGCAATGTCTGCTAAAGGATGCTGGCTGTGTGCGTTGCTGGAATGCTGAGGCAGGATGGAATCCTTCTGGTGTGTAATGGAGTCTTCATGTGGTAGGTGGCATGAGGGCTGGTCTTTGAAGGAAGGAAGCCAAGAGTTACAGGAGTGGTGGGAGGCAAGCCACGGGAAGGGAAGACTCTGACCAAATCCTGGAATTTAGGAAATGTAGAGAATGTTCAGAAGATTATATTTGATTGGAGCCAAGAATGTAAGTGAAGTGTGTAGGACTCCGAAGGACTTAGATGCCAGTTAAGGTTGACGGGTTAAGGTTGAGCTGGCAGTAATTTCTTCCACTATTCAGACCCATGCCCCTCTGGGAGGGGGAAGAGATTTTTCTCTTGAGGACTGAGTAGGACTTGAACTCTCAGAGAAGTCAGCTTGTGTCTTAAAACGAGTTTGTTTTTTAAACAAGAAAGGCAACGGTTCTTAGCCCCCATATTATGTTTTAAGAGCCTCATCTAAATGTCAATAAGAAAATTGATAAATTCCCTGTAGACAAATATAGCTGGACAGATTTCTTCACCTTACGTCCTGGGAAAAGGGGAAGCAACCACATTTTACCCTTGACAATCACCCTCCTGCTCGTTCCATTGACTATTGTAGGAAACAGGCACTTACTTAGCTGTTGACTTTCAGAGTTTTCTACAGAGAAGTTTTTTGTAGTGAGGAAAAGAGGAGTTTGTTGGTGGTGTTTTCTTTTGGTGTTGGAAGAGGAGAGTATATTTGGCAAGGAAGGAATGCATGGGACAGTGGGACTAGAGCAAGTTTTGGTTCTAGCGAATCTTAACACCCTTACGGCTGACCATTCAGTCTGATCTGCAGTAGTTTCTCTACAGAGACCTGCTCACTTCCAAAAGGAGTGCTTGTTTGAGAAAGCCTGGAAGGAAACCATCCACACTGGGAAAATTATTCAATATTCACTTAGGGATATATAAGTAGGATGAAATCATCCTTCTTAAAGTCATCAATGCAAGTTTGAGTTTTCTCTTGCTCCATGTAATATCTCTTTTCTTGGTAAAAATATTTGTAGAGCTCAGAAAAAATAACTTCATTTCCATTGACTTTCCTCTTGTAATAATAATGATAATTCTATTCTCCATTTGTTCACCTAGTATTAAAGATGATATTCAAACTAAGCTTTTGAGGTAGCATTACCTCCTTTTAAGGGATGTTGAAATTGTCATTTGTGGGCCGGCCCGTGGCTCACTCGGGAGAGTGCGGTGCTGATAACACCAAGGCCCC